GCCTAGAATCTCTGATTAGCTTGGACAACCCAGAGGGATCAGAGAACAAATGACTCAGGCAGCTGAGGTTTTCCTAGCCCTAGGGTGGAAACTTGTATTTTAGTTCCCTCTTCCAAGGCACAGGATCCTTTGTGTGCACATTCTATTGCACATTCAATGTCCAATGCAGCCATCTCTACCTCATAGCTGGGAAGCCCTGAAGCCAAACTTCAGTCAACAAACAGTAACAACAATTAAAGCAAAAAGTGGCCATGAATTTGAAAGCAAGGTTCTGTAAATGGAAAATTTGAAAGCAAGGTAGGAGGTAAATGGAAAAAAAAGAAAAAAGAAGAGAAAGAAATAAAAAGGAAAGGGCATGGCTGCTCCTAAATATGGTGGAGTAGAAAGCTTACTATAGATAAAAGGGAAAGTACAGCCAGACACAGGAACATCTAGGAGAGTACAGAGTGGACATGACCCAGAGCCATGTAAGGAGAGAGAAGACGGGAGAGGAGAGAACCAGAGACCAAGAGGCCCAGAAGGTAAATGATAGATGATAAAGACCAGGTAACCAAAATGGTTGGATTACATAAGGAAGGGTAACTTGAAAAAGCCCAACACCTTTTCTCTCATGTTGTGCATTTTTAGACAGAAAAGATAAAATTCCTGTTATGCTTTTTCACAACAGTTTGTCAAGACCTTCTGTGTTGGTTGAACTGTATAACTAAGGAAATTTGGTTTCAGTTGAGGAATGGATACAAAAATTGTGGTACATTTACACAATGGAATACTACTCAGCAATTAAAAACAAGGAAATCATGAAATTTGTAGGAAAATGGTGGGAACTAGAAAAGATCCTCCTGAGTGAGGTATCCCAAAAGCAGAAAGACACACACAGTCTATACTCACTTATAAGTGGACACTAGACATATAATATAGGATAGTCATACTAAAATCTGTACACCTAAGGAAGCTAATCAAGAAGGAGGACCCTGGGTAAGACGCTCAATCTCCATTCAGAAAGGCAAATGAGACAGACATTAGAAAAGGGAGAAAACAGGGAACAGGACAGGAGCCTATCACAGAGGGCCTCTGAAAGACTCTGCCCAGCAGGGTATAAAAACATATGTGGAGACTCATAGCCAAACTTTGGGCAGAGTGCAGGAATCTTATGAAAGAAGGGGGAGATAGAAAGACCTGGAGGAACTCCACAAGGAGAGCAACAGAACCAAAAAATCCGGGCACAGGGGTCTTTTCTGAGACTGATACTCCAACCAAGGACCATGCATTGAGATAACCTAGGACCCCTGCACAGAAGTAGCCCATCAGTGTCCAAGAGGGTTCCCCAATAATAGGAACAAGGACTGTCTGTGACATGAACTCATGGGCTGGCTCTTTAACCACCTCCACCTGAGGAGGGGAGCAGCCTTATCACTCCACAGAGGAAGACAAAGAAGCCAGTTCTGATGAGACATGATAGACTAGGATCAAATGGAAGGGGAAAAGGACCTCCCCTATCACTGAACTGGAGGAGGGGCATAGGAGAAGAGGGAGGGAAGGTGGGATTGGAAGGGGATTGGAGAGGGGGCTACAGCTGGGATACAAAGTGAATAAACTGTAATTAATAAAACTAAAATTAAAATTAAAAAGAAAAGAAATTTGGTTTCTAGAAATAAGTTCAGTTCCTCAACCAGATTCTTGATTGCCCTGTTCTGTGAATGCCTCCCCTCCCCCTGCCGAAATGGTCAGTTTGGACTTATCTAGAATTGATTACCAGACTACTCATTGCTAATGCCAACTATTCTCCAAGCAGGAAAGCTTCCACCTTCCTTCCTCCCTGTCCCTTTCTGTTCTGTGACTACATCAGATTCAAAATTGGTCAGTGAATTCTTACATAAGTCCCTCTTTATTTGTAATTCTCTCAAAAAAGCCATGGAGGCTGCATGTACTCATTCACTGGTGTCTTTTCTTTCTCATTGAACAGTCAGGGCCCAGCCTGAAAGGACTTGCAAGACTGTTCCAGGCACTTGGCAGCAGGATTAGGTATTCAAAGCCAATCTTAACCATATAACATAAGGCAAGGATAAGCTACAAGAGACGTTGCTCTAAACAAAAACAAGTATGAAAGCACTTGAGAAGAGAGAAGGAAAATTCTTAATGACTGGGAAACACTGAAGAATAGAAACAAATAAGAGGTTAGAGCAGTGATACATTGAGAAAATGAAATTTAAAAAGGATACCAACAACTGACTTTTTAAAAAGGTAAATACAATTGAAAAAGCATACAGGTATAATGACTTTGAAAAAGAACGGGCCCTTCCCTGGTGAAGGAAATGCCCTTAATGAGCTACTATTTGACGTTGCCCTTATGTGCAATGTTAGCTGTTGAGATCTGTAACCTAACACACATATACAGCTAGAGCCAATGTCTTGCTTTGTGTTTCACACTTCTGAGATGACTTAACTATGTCAATGAGGATTGCTCACATTTTCATAAGATTGTCCCAAGCTAACCTCCCCTGGTCTGTTTTCGCTCAGTATGAATTAATACATACTAGCAAATTACTAAAATCACTCACCCTGCCTCAATCAGGTCCTTCTTCATAATGCTGACCCCTGGAGCTAACTACCTTAAACTTTAGTCTGTGATCTAGCTATTATCTACCCTGTTTCACTCTGCAGTGTACTGGAAACTGCTCCTCCTGTTCTGGTCTGAAGGCAGAAGCCATGCTCCACATGCAAATCCTTTTTCCGTTACTTCAAAAGACAGTTCACTACATGACTCAAATACGTACTTTTAAAATTCTGTGGTGGTACAGTCCTTTAACTAAAGGATTTAGGAAGTTTAATCAAAAGGAAAATAAGGTCATTGTCCTGGGGAGCAACAGGCTGGGATCAAGGTGACCTGAATCAATATAGCTTGTCACAGAAATATTTTTCTAAAAGTCTGAAGAAGCAGCTGTCCTAGAATTCATATGCCAAAGAGAAATCATTCCATACACAATTAAAATATTATTAAGAAAAATCTCTTTAATGACAGCATGAATTCAGCTCTGGTGAATGCTCGAAGAGGAACCAGCCAAGAAAGATTTTGCATTCCACATATGCTGTCACCCTTAAGTCTCTTTTAGGTTCAGGCCTCGGGTTATGTTTTGAACAATTTAAATACAGACTGAAGACTGCAAGTCTAGCCACTTAGAGATGGGAGATCTACACAGCAAAGATATTCCCAGAATCATTTTTTAAGTACACCAGTGCCCTGAAACAGCAGGTCATTTTCAGTGACAGAGTGCTAAGTGGAAGGTCCCAGAATATTAAAAAGATAGGAAAAGTAGAAGGGAGAAAGTATAAAAGCTACGGTCTGTAGATCTTACACAAGCTATGACTTATGCTAAGTAGGTTTCTTAAGAATAGCATCTTGTATACTACTTACAAGGGAAAAAATGAAAAGAAATGGGAGACTTCTATGAAGTCAGCAGAAACTATCATACAGTGGGACAAACTCAGGAGAAGTCTAATAAAACAATGCTGTACAAGGGTAACACAGGATATCTCAAATACATTACTGACCAAGCCTACAATGGACTAATAACCACAGCCCCATGTTTTGAGGAGAGTTGGGTTCTGAGGAGCTAAAGCAACACCTCCCCAAAGGCCCTGGCCCCAGACCATTACCAGCTCTCCCAAGCACATTTAGAGAAGGAGCTCTGTTTTATTTTCAATTCACTAGGTCCTCAGGGAAAGTTCCCAGGCTATTACTGGCTCTGCCAAGCATGTTCCTGGGTTTCAGAAGGAGCGGTGTTCCTACTCCATAAATGAGGGCCTCACAGAAAGACTTGCTTGATCAGGCCAGCCCTCAACACAACAGTATTTTTCCTTTTCAAAGAGTTGTCACCCAGTGTAGTCTTGCCCAAGTGGCAGAACTAAATTTTCCTCAAGAATGATGGCACACCCCAAGCCTTAATGTTAGTTGTGGCCCTGTAATGCCCCCTTGAGCAGCTTGTTAGAAGCCTGTTTTTGATATGAGGATGGGCCTAATGGCTGACTGTAAATCAGAGTTGTCGCCTTTGTTATGGTTTGGAGCCAAATGTTTGGACGATCCTGGTGAACAAACATATGTATCCGAGCATCCTAATCTCTAACGAGGCTTGGTTAGCATACTTCTTAGCTGTGGGGTGTTTTAGTGGCATTGGTAAATCCTTTACATCAATTCTACTCTTCTACATCACATCTTAATACTGGAGTGCTACCCAAGTCATCTTTTACAACCTCCACAAAATTAACTCCAAATATGCTAGGGGCAGAACTTGCACAAGATACTAGAAAAACTAGGGCTCTCCAAGTTTGGCATCCCACCAACGCTGTTTCTACATGGCACCTCTGGTCCAAATGATTTGCAGAGATGCAGCCCTCATAGTGAAGTTATGCAGAGGCCACCGCCAGGTCCAGGGAGTGACTATGCCCACAAGGGATCTCACAGGTGGCCGCATCTGGCTGCCACTAACCACCCATCCCCAGGGAGAACCCACCACATCAGCTACTGCTGCTCAGCTGCCAGCTCCACTTTGTTGTGGGCAGTGACTTTGCGCTACTCACGTCGCGAATTCGGAGCTTGCCTGAGTTCCCGTCACAGTACCCAGCAGCAGCGCTCAGAGCACATCACTCCAAACCATTAAAGCCTGCTCAGGAACAGGAGCTGAATCTGCAGTGTGTCACCCGGAATAACCCTCCTCGTCTGACTGGCAGGTCCGCCTGGAGGCCCTGATTGGCCAGTGAGTCTTGAGTACCATGAACTCTTCCCTCAGAGTGTGCTAAAGTCTCATAGTGCTGGCCCAGGATTAAAATCAAGAGCCAGACCTTTTTCAGAGCTGCAGAGATCTGCATTCCAGTAGCACTCGGGCCTGTGATCCAATAGCCTACCCGACTGCCTTCCCACCTTGACCCGGAAAGGACCCACCACTCCATCTCCCGCTGCTCAGCTGCCTGCTCCTCCCTTTTGTAGGCAGTGACCCAGCGCTCACCATGTCGCAACTTCGGAGCTTGCCTGAGCTCCCCTTACAGCACCCAGCAGCAGCGCTCAGAGCACAACACACCAAACCATTCAAGCCTGGTCAGATACAGAGCAAGCCTGCAGCCGGGCACCCGGAAAAACCCTCCTCTTCTTCTGTCTGGCAGGTCCGCGTGGAGGCTCTGATTGGCTAATGAATCTTGAGTGACATGAGCACCTCCCATAGGTTTAGAGGGTGCTGAAAGGACACAGCATAGAGCTTCCTTGCCCAAGCTTCCTCCAGTCCAGGGCCAGACTTTTTTCAGACCTGCAGAGATTTGCATTTCAGGAGCACTTTGCCTGTTCTCCCAATAGCCTACCCGGCTGTCTTCCCACCTAGCCCAGGAGAGGGCCCGCTATAGGAGCTCTCGCTGCTCAGCCGCCTCCTCCTCCCCTTTGTATGCGATGACCCTGGACTCATCGCGGTAGTGATTTCTGATATTGCCTGAGCTTTCTTCACTGCACTCATTAAGGCACTTCCTTTACTTCCTCCTGGAATCAAGGTGGATAGCTAGCATAACCCATTACTTAACTTGCTCTGGAATTAACAATCTGTCCCACAAGTGGAAGGGTGCCCAGAATATTAACAATTAAAGAAGAGATTTTAGGAAACAAAATTTTTGTTTTGTAGCTTCATGCTGGGTTCAGGTAAACTGCAGCTAATTTTCATCTGGTAGGGACGGGACAACGCTGAGAGAAAAGCAGGAAACAGATGACAAACACTGTGTTAGCCATCTTCCTCAATGGGAAGGTAAAATCAAATAAACAAAACCCGCTGAATTAATAAAGGTTTTTTAGATGAACAGTCCTGATAGAATGAATCTATGTATGTAGAAAGTGAAAGGCTGGCACGGTGGCACACACCTCTAAGACCAGCAGCTAGGGAGGCAGGCATATCTCAAGGCCACACGAAGAAACCCTGTCTCAAAAAAAAACAAAAAAAAAACTGAATTTATTATAATGTCTCACAGGCTGAGGTCCACCTAGTCCAACAATGTCTGCTACCAATGGAAGAATCCAACAGTGGTTCAGTCCATGTTGCTGGATGTCTCAGCTGGTCTTCAGTACATACCAGAATTCTGGAGAAATAGGTTCTAATGCCAGTAAAAAAATGAACTTTCTAGCCAGAGGTAGGGCAAGCAGACAAAGAAAAAGAGTGACCATCTTCAATGCCCTTTACATATGTAGGTTGATACCAAAAGCTTTGTCAAACTGTGACACCAGAATCTGTGCCCTAGATTAAAGCTGGATCTTATCATCTGAAAAGATGCAGATTAAGGAAGATTAGGGTCAGGTCAGGTTGGTTTAGGGTGGGGGTCAGAGTTAGGGTTGAGGTTAAGGGTTAGGATTAGAAGGTTAAGGTTACTGTTAGGGCTAGGGATAAGTCAATCTGGCGCTTGCTCAGACAATTAGGAATAATGCTTCCTCAAGACCCAGCTATACCACTGCTAGGTATATACCCAAAATTTGCTCAAGTACACAACAAGGACATTTGCTCAACCATGTTTGTAGCAGCTTTATTCGTAATAGCCAGAAGCTGGAAACAAACCAGATGTCCATCAATGGAGGAATGGATACAGAAATTGTGGTATTTTTACACAATGGAATACTACTCAGCAATCAAAAAGGAGGAAATCATGAAATTTGCAGGCAAATTGTGGGACCTAGAAAAGAGCATTCTGAGTGAAGTATCCCAGAAGGAGAAAGACAAACATGGTATATACTTACTTATATAGACCTACAAGATATGATAAACATAATAAAGTCTATACAACTAAAGAAGATAAACAAGAAAGCAGACACAAGGTAAGATGATCAATCCTCACTTAGAAAGACAAATGAGATGTGCATTGGACGTATGTCAGGAGTCTACCGCAGAAGGCACCTGAAAGACCCTACCAAGCAGCATTTCAAAACAGATACTAAGACTCATAACCAAACCTTCGGCAGAAGGGGAGTTAGTATGACGGGGAAAGGATAGGAGCCCCACAAGGACCATATATATCTGGGCAAAGGGTTTTTTCTGAAATTGTTTCTCCAACCAAGGACCATGTATGGATATAACCTAGAACCTTTGGACGAAGCTCATGGTATCTCAATAACCAATTGGTTTCCCATAGTAAGGGGAACAGGGACTATCTCTGACAGGAACTCAATGGCGGGCTCTTTGACCTCCCCACCCCCCAAGGGAGGAGCAGTCCTGCTAGGCCACAGAGGAGGACTTTGCAGCCAGCCCTGAAGATACCTGATAAAACAGGGCCAGACGAAAGGGGAGGAGGTCCTCCCCAATCAGTGGACTTGGAAAGGAGCAGGGAGAAGCTGAGGGAGGGAGGGTGGGATTGGGAGGAAATAAGGGAGCGGGATACAGCTGGGATACAGAGTTAATAAAATGTAACTATAATAATAAACAATAAAAAATTAAGTTAAAATGTGAAGTAAATCAAATGAGAGTTTTCCTCAGAAACCTGAAAATGGCTGACTTTCACATCAGCAATGGAGGCTCCCCTACCTCCAATAAGAAGGTATAGTTTAACTAGAAGACAAGATATGCATGTCTAAGTAGTTTAGTCAAGGTGTGAATGGCCTCACCCTTATTGTTTCTTCCCTACAGTCTCTAGCACAAGATTAAGGAGTTAGGAAGGGATGATGACCTTGAACTTCTGATCCTTATATATTTTTATAGGAATAGGCTTTTTTCTTACCTATAAGTCTGTGTATCACATTTCCACCACCAGGTCTTTTCAGAGGACAGATGTGGTCTGTAAACATACTTTTTATCTACTTTATTTTGGGTTTTTTATGATTCTAGCTCCCTACTCTACTTGAATCTCTTCCAACACCCCACCACCAGGTAGGAGATTAAGGTTAGTGGGGAGAAGAGATGTAGGTCTCTTTAGCTACTTCCTGCTTATTAGGGTTTTTGGGTTCCTTAGGGGCAAGTCCAATCTTCATTTAAGTATAACTCCAACTTCCTCAAACTGCATCAACAGCAACCAAGAACAGCAGTGGGGAGCACCAGCATTCTTTCTCAGAGCCCTCTCCTGCTCCCTAGCTCTGGTATTTATTCCCTCTCCAGAGTCCTCATAATTAAACTACCTGCAGCTGACAAAGATCATACCCCTCTCAGAGCCTGCAAATAGTCTGCTGTTGTGGACAATCTAAAGCAGTCCGATATCCTACACCTGAGATTAAAACAAAAATATGTTTGTATAACATAACTGAGTTTTTAAAGACTCCAAAACTTTTACTACAGTGTGCATCAGAGTCCATGGGACTAGAGATCCAACAACTAACTCATTCATCACTTCATGATGAATGTGACAAAACAAAAATAGAAAGATAGAGTCCCTCAAGTAAATGAAAATGATAACACTATGCAACCCCTGTCATACAGTAAAATCAATCTTATGAGGAAATTTATAGATATAATTGCCTACCTTTAAAAAAAGAGAGAAAGAAAGAAAGAAAGAAAGAAAGAAAGAAAGAAAGGAAGGAAGGAAGGAAGGAAGGAAAGTAATAAAGTGATTCTCTAGCAACAAATCCCAAAGAAATCAACATGGATAAAATATCTGATGACAAATTTTTAGAGTGATCATAAAAAGGCCAAATGAGAGGTCCTGGTAAGTATAGAGGAGTCGAACGAAGCTGGGAATACAATGTAGGGTATGAATAATAAATTGAGTGTGAAATATAAATTTCGACAAATAACTAAATAACCCTAAAATAAAAACTCAATAAGTGGCCAGGAAAGAAGATCCCACAATAGCTGAAGCTTCCACAAAGTCAGTCTAGCAAGAGAAAGAAAATATGAATGAAAAGACAGTTTTCATTAGAGATCCAACTAGAGATCCAACAACTAACTCATTCATCACTTCATGATGAATATGACAAAACAAAAATAGAGAGTCCCTCAAGTAAATGAAAATGAAAACATTGTGCAACCCCTGTCATACAGTAAAATCAATCTTATGAGGAAATTTATAGATATAATTGCCTACCTTTAAAAAAAAAGAGAAAGAAAGAAAGAGAGAGAGAGAGAGAGAGAAAGAAAGAAAGAAAGAAAGAAAGAAAGAAAGAAAGAAAGAGGTACAAGTAATTGACTTAAGTACACAGGTCAAGAATTAGGAAAAATATAAACAAATCAAACAGAAACTTACTATACAGCAAGTAACAGCAGTCAAAGCTGAGATATAAAACACAGAAAAGTTCTTTAATGAAATTCAAGATGCCTTCATGATTACAGTTCCACAGACAATAATACTAAAAGGAACATTCTGTATAAAATAAAAGCTAAAGTCTTTTTTGTTTGGTTTCAAGACAGAGTTTCTCTTTGTGTAGCTCTGGCTGTCCTAGAACTTGCTCTATAGAGTAGGCTAACCTCAAATTTACAGAAATTCACCTGTCTCTACCACTACCACCTTTCTTTCTTTCTTTCTTTCTTTCTTTCTTTCTTTCTTTCTTTCTTTCTTTCTTTCTTTTCTTTTCTTTTCTTTCTTTCCTTCCTTTCTTTCCTTCCTTTCTTTCTTTCTTTTCAAAACAGGGCTTTTCTGTGTAGCCTTGGTTGTCTTGAACTCACTTTGTAGACCAGGTTGGCTTTGAACTCATAGAGATCCACCTGCCTCTGCCTCCCTGAGTGCTGGGATTCTAGACATGCACCACCTCATCCCACTGAAAAGACAGTTCTTAATTGTAATACTATTCTTCAATTAGAGCTGTTCCTGAATCTTCCCACTCAATTTTTTTGTTTGTTTTTTGTTTGTTTGTTTGTTTGTTTGTTTTTGGTTCTTTTGAGAAAGGGATTCTCTGTGTGATCTTGGCTGTCCCAGAACTCACTTTGTAAAGCAGGTTGGCCTTAGAGATCTGCCTGCCTCTGCCTCCCAAATAGTGCTGAGATTAAAGGCATGTACCACCACAACCAGCTGAATGTCCCTATTTTTTAACTTGCATTTTACCTATGGGATCACCCAGATCATGCTCAAAATACAATTTGGGACCAAAGAGTAGGAAAAGAAAAGTTTTCTATATACGCAAGCAATCCTAATTTATTATATTGTTCTGTCTATGTAGTTTGGATTCAACTTTGTT